AGCGTGGCCTTGTGGTCTAGTGGTATGATTCTCGCTTAGGGTGCAGGAGGTCCCGAGATTCGATCTCCGGCAAGGCCCTTAGCCTGTCACCGATCATGCAAGAAGAGTATTTGCATCTCGCTTTATGGTTTCTAAACAACAGCAAATGATCTTTCTTGCACAAACAGAGGACCGGGACAAGTTTAAATCGAAGCTGTTGCTGTGCGCGAGGAAGCGAGCACTCCAACAAGATCGATGGACGTAACGGCTTACAAAGCACCGCAATGGTTTGAAAAGAGTCGTCAGCGTCAGTAACGTGCCAATACGATGCGTTCGCATTCGACACTGCAATAATAGCACTTGTGTGTGGGTGCACGCAGCTCGTGCAGTCGGCTGGAACATGAGGACGTGAAAAGCGGTGAGTGTGGCCTTGTGGTCTAGTGGTATGATTCTCGATTAGGGTGCGAGAGGTCCCGTACTCGATCTCCGGCAAGGCCCAGCCTGTCACCGATCATGCAAGAAGATTATTTGCATCTCGCTTTATGGCTTCTAAACAACAGCAAATGATCTTTCTTGCACAACAGAGGACCGGGACAAGTTTAAATCGAAGCTGTTGCTGTGCGCGAGGAAGCGAGCACTCGAACAAGATCGATGGACGTAACGGCTTACAAAGCACCGCAATGGTTTGAAAAGAGTCGTCAGCGTCAGTAACGTGCCAATACGATGCGTTCGCATTCGACACTGCAATAATAGCACTTGTGTGTGGGTGCACGCAGCTCGTGCAGTCGCTGGAACATGAGGACGTGAAAAGCGGTTAGCGTGGCCTTGTGGTCTAGTGGTATAATTCTCGCTTAGGGTGCGAGAGGACCCGGACTCGATCTCCGGCAAGGCCCAGCCTGTCACCGATCATGCAAGAAGATTATTTGCATCTCGCTTTATGGCTTCTAAACAATAGCAAATGATCTTTCTTGCACAACAGAGGACCGGGACAAGTTTAAATCGAAGCTGTTGCTGTGCGCGAGGAAGCGAGCACTCCAACAAGATCGATGGACGTAACGGCTTACAAAGCACCGCAATGGTTTGAAAAGAGTCGTCAGCGTCAGTAACGTGCCAATGCGATGCGTTCGCATTCGACACTGCAATAATAGCACTTGTGTGTGGGTGCACGCAGCTCGTGCAGTCGCTGGAACATGAGGACGTGAAAAGCGGTGAGCGTGGCCTTGTGGTCTAGTGGTATGATTCTCGCTTAGGGTGCGAGAGGTCCCGTACTCGATCTCCGGCAAGGCCCAGCCTGTCACCGATCATGCAAGAAGATTATTTGCATCTCGCTTTATGGCTTCTAAACAACAGCAAATGATCTTTCTTGCACAACAGAGGACCGGGACAAGTTTAAATCGAAGCTGTTGCTGTGCGCGAGGAAGCGAGCACTCCAACAAGATCGATGGACGTAACGGCTTACAAAGCACCGCAATGGTTTGAAAAGAGTCGTCAGCGTCAGTAACGTGCCAATGCGATGCGTTCGCATTCGACACTGCAATAATAGCACTTGTGTGTGGGTGCACGCAGCTCGTGCAGTCGCCGGAACATGAGGACGTGAAGAGCGGTGAGCGTGGCCTTGTGGTCTAGTGGTATAATTCTCGCTTAGGGTGCGAGAGGTCCCGGATTTGATCTCCGGCAAGGCCCAGCCTGTCACCGATCATGCAAGAAGATTATTTGCATCTCGCTTTATGGCTTCTAAACAACAGCAAATGATCTTTCTTGCACAACAGAGGACCGGGACAAGTTTAAATCGAAGCTGTTGCTGTGCGCGAGGAAGCGAGCACTCCAACAAGATCGATGGACGTAACGGCTTACAAAGCACCGCGATGGTTTGAAAAGAGTCGTCAGCGTCAGTAACGTGCCAATACGATGCGTTCGCATTCGACACTGCAATAATAGCACTTGTGTGTGGGTGCACGCAGCTCGTGCAGTCGCTGGAACATGAGGACGTGAAAAGCGGTGAGTGTGGCCTTGTGGTCTAGTGGTATGATTCTCGATTAGGGTGCGAGAGGTCCCGGACTCGATCTCCGGCAAGGCCCAGCCTGTCACCGATCATGCAAGAAGATTATTTTCATCTCGCTTTATGGCTTCTAAACAATAGCAAATGATCTTTCTTGCACAACAGAGGACCGGGACAAGTTTAAATCGAAGCTGTTGCTGTGCGCGAGGAAGCGAGCACTCCAACAAGATCGATGGACGTAACGGCTTACAAAGCACCGCAATGGTTTGAAAAGAGTCGTCAGCGTCAGTAACGTGCCAATGCGATGCGTTCGCATTCGACACTGCAATAATAGCACTTGTGTGTGGGTGCACGCAGCTCGTGCAGTCGCTGGAACATGAGGACGTGAAAAGCGGTGAGCGTGGCCTTGTGGTCTAGTGGTATGATTCTCGATTAGGGTGCGAGAGGTCCCGGACTCGATCTCCGGCAAGGCCCAGCCTGTCACCGATCATGCAAGAAGATTATTTGCATCTCGCTTTATGGCTTCTAAACAACAGCAAATGATCTTTCTTGCACAACAGAGGACCGGGACAAGTTTAAATCGAAGCTGTTGCTGTGCGCGAGGAAGCGAGCACTCCAACAAGATCGATGGACGTAACGGCTTACAAAGCACCGCGATGGTTTGAAAAGAGTCGTCAGCGTCAGTAACGTGCCAATACGATGCGTTCGCATTCGACACTGCAATAATAGCACTTGTGTGTGGGTGCACGCAGCTCGTGCAGTCGGCTGGAACATGAGGACGTGAAAAGCGGTGAGCGTGGCCTTGTGGTCTAGTGGTATGATTCTCGATTAGGGTGCGAGAGGTCCCGTACTCGATCTCCGGCAAGGCCCAGCCTGTCACCGATCATGCAAGAAGATTATTTTCATCTCGCTTTATGGCTTCTAAACAACAGCAAATGATCTTTCTTGCACAACAGAGGACCGGGACAAGTTTAAATCGAAGCTGTTGCTGTGCGCGAGAAAGCGAGCACTCGAACAAGATCGATGGACGTAACGGCTTACAAAGCACCGCAATGGTTTGAAAAGAGTCGTCAGCGTCAGTAACGTGCCAATACGATGCGTTCGCATTCGACACTGCAATAATAGCACTTGTGTGTGGGTGCACGCAGCTCGTGCAGTCGGCTGGAACATGAGGACGTGAAAAGCGGTGAGCGTGGCCTTGTGGTCTAGTGGTATGATTCTCGCTTAGGGTGCGAGAGGTCCCGTACTCGATCTCCGGCAAGGCCCAGCCTGTCACCGATCATGCAAGAAGATTATTTGCATCTCGCTTTATGGCTTCTAAACAACAGCAAATGATCTTTCTTGCACAACAGAGGACCGGGACAAGTTTAAATCGAAGCTGTTGCTGTGCGCGAGGAAGCGAGCACTCCAACAAGATCGATGGACGTAACGGCTTACAAAGCACCGCGATGGTTTGAAAAGAGTCGTCAGTGTCAGTAACGTGCCAATACGATGCGTTCGCATTCGACACTGCAATAATAGCACTTGTGTGTGGGTGCACGCAGCTCGTGCAGTCGCTGGAACATGAGGACGTGAAAAGCGGTGAGCGTGGCCTTGTGGTCTAGTGGTATGATTCTCGCTTAGGGTGCGAGAGGTCCCGGACTCGATCTCCGGCAAGGCCCAGCCTGTCACCGATCATGCAAGAAGATTATTTGCATCTCGCTTTATGGCTTCTAAACAACAGCAAATGATCTTTCTTGCACAACAGAGGACCGGGACAAGTTTAAATCGAAGCTGTTGCTGTGCGCGAGGAAGCGAGCACTCCAACAAGATCGATGGACGTAACGGCTTACAAAGCACCGCGATGGTTTGAAAAGAGTCGTCAGCGTCAGTAACGTGCCAATACGATGCGTTCGCATTCGACACTGCAATAATAGCACTTGTGTGTGGGTGCACGCAGCTCGTGCAGTCGCTGGAACATGAGGACGTGAAAAGCGGTGAGCGTGGCCTTGTGGTCTAGTGGTATGATTCTCGCTTAGGGTGCGAGAGGTCCCGGACTCGATCTCCGGCAAGGCCCAGCCTGTCACCGATCATGCGGGAAGAGTATTTGCATCTCGCTTTATGGCTTCTAAACAACAGCAAATGATCTTTCTTGCACAACAGAGGACCGGGACAAGTTTAAATCGAAGCTGTTGCTGTGCGCGAGGAAGCGAGCACTCCAACAAGATCGATGGACGTAACGGCTTACAAAGCACCGCGATGGTTTGAAAAGAGTCGTCAGCGTCAGTAACGTGCCAATACGATGCGTTCGCATTCGACACTGCAATAATAGCACTTGTGTGTGGGTGCACGCAGCTCGTGCAGTCGCTGGAACATGAGGACGTGAAAAGCGGTGAGCGTGGCCTTGTGGTCTAGTGGTATGATTCTCGCTTAGGGTGCGAGAGGTCCCGGACTCGATCTCCGGCAAGGCCCAGCCTGTCACCGATCATGCAAGAAGATTATTTGCATCTCGCTTTATGGCTTCTAAACAACAGCAAATGATCTTTCTTGCACAACAGAGGACCGGGACAAGTTTAAATCGAAGCTGTTGCTGTGCGCGAGGAAGCGAGCACTCCAACAAGATCGATGGACGTAACGGCTTACAAAGCACCGCGATGGTTTGAAAAGAGTCGTCAGCGTCAGTAACGTGCCAATACGATGCGTTCGCATTCGACACTGCAATAATAGCACTTGTGTGTGGGTGCACGCAGCTCGTGCAGTCGGCTGGAACATGAGGACGTGAAAAGCGGTGAGCGTGGCCTTGTGGTCTAGTGGTATGATTCTCGCTTAGGGTGCGAGAGGTCCCGGACTCGATCTCCGGCAAGGCCCAGCCTGTCACCGATCATGCAAGAAGAGTATTTGCATCTCGCTTTATGGCTTCTAAACAACAGCAAATGATCTTTCTTGCACAACAGAGGACCGGGACAAGTTTAAATCGAAGCTGTTGCTGTGCGCGAGGAAGCGAGCACTCCAACAAGATCGATGGACGTAACGGCTTACAAAGCACCGCGATGGTTTGAAAAGAGTCGTCAGCGTCAGTAACGTGCCAATACGATGCGTTCGCATTCGACACTGCAATAATAGCACTTGTGTGTGGGTGCACGCAGCTCGTGCAGTCGGCTGGAACATGAGGACGTGAAAAGCGGTGAGCGTGGCCTTGTGGTCTAGTGGTATGATTCTCGCTTAGGGTGCGAGAGGTCCCGTACTCGATCTCCGGCAAGGCCCAGCCTGTCACCGATCATGCAAGAAGATTATTTGCATCTCGCTTTATGGCTTCTAAACAACAGCAAATGATCTTTCTTGCACAACAGAGGACCGGGACAAGTTTAAATCGAAGCTGTTGCTGTGCGCGAGGAAGCGAGCACTCCAACAAGATCGATGGACGTAACGGCTTACAAAGCACCGCGATGGTTTGAAAAGAGTCGTCAGCGTCAGTAACGTGCCAATACGATGCGTTCGCATTCGACACTGCAATAATAGCACTTGTGTGTGGGTGCACGCAGCTCGTGCAGTCGGCGGAACATGAGGACGTGAAGAGCGGTGAGCGTGGCCTTGTGGTCTAGTGGTATGATTCTCGCTTAGGGTGCGAGAGGTCCCGGATTCGATCTCCGGCAAGGCCCAGCCTGTCACCGATCATGCGGGAAGAGTATTTGCATCTCGCTTTATGGCTTCTAAACAACAGCAAATGATCTTTCTTGCACAACAGAGGACCGGGACAAGTTTAAATCGAAGCTGTTGCTGTGCGCGAGGAAGCGAGCACTCCAACAAGATCGATGGACGTAACGGCTTACAAAGCACCGCGATGGTTTGAAAAGAGTCGTCAGTGTCAGTAACGTGCCAATACGATGCGTTCGCATTCGACACTGCAATAATAGCACTTGTGTGTGGGTGCACGCAGCTCGTGCAGTCGGCTGGAACATGAGGACGTGAAAAGCGGTGAGCGTGGCCTTGTGGTCTAGTGGTATGATTCTCGATTAGGGTGCGAGAGGTCCCGTACTCGATCTCCGGCAAGGCCCAGCCTGTCACCGATCATGCGGGAAGAGTATTTGCATCTCGCTTTATGGCTTCTAAACAACAGCAAATGATCTTTCTTGCACAACAGAGGACCGGGACAAGTTTAAATCGAAGCTGTTGCTGTGCGCGAGGAAGCGAGCACTCCAACAAGATCGATGGACGTAACGGCTTACAAAGCACCGCGATGGTTTGAAAAGAGTCGTCAGCGTCAGTAACGTGCCAATGCGATGCGTTCGCATTCGACACTGCAATAATAGCACTTGTGTGTGGGTGCACGCAGCTCGTGCAGTCGCTCGAACATGAGGACGTGAAGAGCGGTGAGCGTGGCCTTGTGGTCTAGTGGTATGATTCTCGCTTAGGGTGCGAGAGGTCCCGGACTCGATCTCCGGCAAGGCCCAGCCTGTCACCGATCATGCAAGAAGATTATTTGCATCTCGCTTTATGGCTTCTAAACAACAGCAAATGATCTTTCTTGCACAACAGAGGACCGGGACAAGTTTAAATCGAAGCTGTTGCTGTGCGCGAGGAAGCGAGCACTCCAACAAGATCGATGGACGTAACGGCTTACAAAGCACCGCGATGGTTTGAAAAGAGTCGTCAGCGTCAGTAACGTGCCAATACGATGCGTTCGCATTCGACACTGCAATAATAGCACTTGTGTGTGGGTGCACGCAGCTCGTGCAGTCGGCGGAACATGAGGACGTGAAAAGCGGTGAGCGTGGCCTTGTGGTCTAGTGGTATGATTCTCGCTTAGGGTGCGAGAGGACCCGGACTCGATCTCCGGCAAGGCCCAGCCTGTCACCGATCATGCAAGAAGATTATTTGCATCTCGCTTTATGGCTTCTAAACAACAGCAAATGATCTTTCTTGCACAACAGAGGACCGGGACAAGTTTAAATCGAAGCTGTTGCTGTGCGCGAGGAAGCGAGCACTCCAACACGATCGATGGACGTAACGGCTTACAAAGCACCGCGATGGTTTGAAAAGAGTCGTCAGTGTCAGTAACGTGCCAATACGATGCGTTCGCATTCGACACTGCAATAATAGCACTTGTGTGTGGGTGCACGCAGCTCGTGCAGTCGGCTGGAACATGAGGACGTGAAAAGCGGTGAGCGTGGCCTTGTGGTCTAGTGGTATGATTCTCGCTTAGGGTGCGAGAGGTCCCGGACTCGATCTCCGGCAAGGCCCAGCCTGTCACCGATCATGCAGGAAGAGTATTTGCATCTCGCTTTATGGCTTCTAAACAACAGCAAATGATCTTTCTTGCACAACAGAGGACCGGGACAAGTTTAAATCGAAGCTGTTGCTGTGCGCGAGGAAGCGAGCACTCCAACACGATCGATGGACGTAACGGCTTACAAAGCACCGCGATGGTTTGAAAAGAGTCGTCAGCGTCAGTAACGTGCCAATACGATGCGTTCGCATTCGACACTGCAATAATAGCACTTGTGTGTGGGTGCACGCAGCTCGTGCAGTCGCTGGAACATGAGGACGTGAAAAGCGGTTAGCGTGGCCTTGTGGTCTAGTGGTATAATTCTCGCTTAGGGTGCGAGAGGACCCGGACTCGATCTCCGGCAAGGCCCAGCCTGTCACCGATCATGCAAGAAGATTATTTGCATCTCGCTTTATGGCTTCTAAACAACAGCAAATGATCTTTCTTGCACAACAGAGGACCGGGACAAGTTTAAATCGAAGCTGTTGCTGTGCGCGAGGAAGCGAGCACTCCAACACGATCGATGGACGTAACGGCTTACAAAGCACCGCGATGGTTTGAAAAGAGTCGTCAGTGTCAGTAACGTGCCAATACGATGCGTTCGCATTCGACACTGCAATAATAGCACTTGTGTGTGGGTGCACGCAGCTCGTGCAGTCGCTGGAACATGAGGACGTGAAAAGCGGTGAGCGTGGCCTTGTGGTCTAGTGGTATGATTCTCGCTTAGGGTGCGAGAGGTCCCGGACTCGATCTCCGGCAAGGCCCAGCCTGTCACCGATCATGCAAGAAGATTATTTGCATCTCGCTTTATGGCTTCTAAACAACAGCAAATGATCTTTCTTGCACAACAGAGGACCGGGACAAGTTTAAATCGAAGCTGTTGCTGTGCGCGAGGAAGCGAGCACTCCAACAAGATCGATGGACGTAACGGCTTACAAAGCACCGCGATGGTTTGAAAAGAGTCGTCAGCGTCAGTAACGTGCCAATACGATGCGTTCGCATTCGACACTGCAATAATAGCACTTGTGTGTGGGTGCACGCAGCTCGTGCAGTCGGCGGAACATGAGGACGTGAAAAGCGGTTAGCGTGGCCTTGTGGTCTAGTGGTATGATTCTCGCTTAGGGTGCGAGAGGTCCCGGACTCGATCTCCGGCAAGGCCCAGCCTGTCACCGATCATGCAGGAAGATTATTTGCATCTCGCTTTATGGCTTCTAAACAACAGCAAATGATCTTTCTTGCACAACAGAGGACCGGGACAAGTTTAAATCGAAGCTGTTGCTGTGCGCGAGGAAGCGAGCACTCCAACACGATCGATGGACGTAACGGCTTACAAAGCACCGCGATGGTTTGAAAAGAGTCGTCAGCGTCAGTAACGTGCCAATACGATGCGTTCGCATTCGACACTGCAATAATAGCACTTGTGTGTGTGGTGCACGCAGCTCGTGCAGTCGGCTGGAACATGAGGACGTGAAAAGCGGTGAGCGTGGCCTTGTGGTCTAGTGGTATGATTCTCGCTTAGGGTGCGAGAGGTCCCGGACTCGATCTCCGGCAAGGCCCAGCCTGTCACCGATCATGCAAGAAGATTATTTGCATCTCGCTTTATGGCTTCTAAACAACAGCAAATGATCTTTCTTGCACAACAGAGGACCGGGACAAGTTTAAATCGAAGCTGTTGCTGTGCGCGAGGAAGCGAGCACTCCAACAAGATCGATGGACGTAACGGCTTACAAAGCACCGCAATGGTTTGAAAAGAGTCGTCAGCGTCAGTAACGTGCCAATACGATGCGTTCGCATTCGACACTGCAATAATAGCACTTGTGTGTGGGTGCACGCAGCTCGTGCAGTCGCTGGAACATGAGGACGTGAAAAGCGGTGAGCGTGGCCTTGTGGTCTAGTGGTATGATTCTCGCTTAGGGTGCGAGAGGACCCGGACTCGATCTCCGGCAAGGCCCAGCCTGTCACCGATCATGCAAGAAGATTATTTGCATCTCGCTTTATGGCTTCTAAACAACAGCAAATGATCTTTCTTGCACAACAGAGGACCGGGACAAGTTTAAATCGAAGCTGTTGCTGTGCGCGAGGAAGCGAGCACTCCAACACGATCGATGGACGTAACGGCTTACAAAGCACCGCGATGGTTTGAAAAGAGTCGTCAGTGTCAGTAACGTGCCAATACGATGCGTTCGCATTCGACACTGCAATAATAGCACTTGTGTGTGGGTGCACGCAGCTCGATGAGGACGTGAAAAGCGGTTAGCGTGGCCTTGTGGTCTAGTGGTATAATTCTCGCTTAGGGTGCGAGAGGACCCGGACTCGATCTCCGGCAAGGCCCAGCCTGTCACCGATCATGCAAGAAGATTATTTGCATCTCGCTTTATGGCTTCTAAACAATAGCAAATGATCTTTCTTGCACAACAGAGGACCGGGACAAGTTTAAATCGAAGCTGTTGCTGTGCGCGAGGAAGCGAGCACTCCAACAAGATCGATGGACGTAACGGCTTACAAAGCACCGCGATGGTTTGAAAAGAGTCGTCAGTGTCAGTAACGTGCCAATACGATGCGTTCGCATTCGACACTGCAATAATAGCACTTGTGTGTGGGTGCACGCAGCTCGTGCAGTCGCTGGAACATGAGGACGTGAAAAGCGGTGAGCGTGGCCTTGTGGTCTAGTGGTATAATTCTCGCTTAGGGTGCGAGAGGACCCGGACTCGATCTCCGGCAAGGCCCAGCCTGTCACCGATCATGCAAGAAGATTATTTGCATCTCGCTTTATGGCTTCTAAACAACAGCAAATGATCTTTCTTGCACAACAGAGGACCGGGACAAGTTTAAATCGAAGCTGTTGCTGTGCGCGAGGAAGCGAGCACTCCAACAAGATCGATGGACGTAACGGCTTACAAAGCACCGCGATGGTTTGAAAAGAGTCGTCAGTGTCAGTAACGTGCCAATACGATGCGTTCGCATTCGACACTGCAATAATAGCACTTGTGTGTGGGTGCACGCAGCTCGTGCAGTCGGCGGAACATGAGGACGTGAAAAGCGGTGAGCGTGGCCTTGTGGTCTAGTGGTATGATTCTCGCTTAGGGTGCGAGAGGTCCCGGACTCGATCTCCGGCAAGGCCCAGCCTGTCACCGATCATGCAAGAAGATTATTTGCATCTCGCTTTATGGCTTCTAAACAACAGCAAATGATCTTTCTTGCACAACAGAGGACCGGGACAAGTTTAAATCGAAGCTGTTGCTGTGCGCGAGGAAGCGAGCACTCCAACACGATCGATGGACGTAACGGCTTACAAAGCACCGCGATGGTTTGAAAAGAGTCGTCAGCGTCAGTAACGTGCCAATACGATGCGTTCGCATTCGACACTGCAATAATAGCACTTGTGTGTGGGTGCACGCAGCTCGTGCAGTCGGCTGGAACATGAGGACGTGAAAAGCGGTGAGCGTGGCCTTGTGGTCTAGTGGTATGATTCTCGCTTAGGGTGCGAGAGGTCCCGGACTCGATCTCCGGCAAGGCCCAGCCTGTCACCGATCATGCAAGAAGATTATTTGCATCTCGCTTTATGGCTTCTAAACAACAGCAAATGATCTTTCTTGCACAACAGAGGACCGGGACAAGTTTAAATCGAAGCTGTTGCTGTGCGCGAGGAAGCGAGCACTCCAACAAGATCGATGGACGTAACGGCTTACAAAGCACCGCAATGGTTTGAAAAGAGTCGTCAGCGTCAGTAACGTGCCAATACGATGCGTTCGCATTCGACACTGCAATAATAGCACTTGTGTGTGGGTGCACGCAGCTCGTGCAGTCGCTGGAACATGAGGACGTGAAAAGCGGTGAGCGTGGCCTTGTGGTCTAGTGGTATGATTCTCGCTTAGGGTGCGAGAGGTCCCGGACTCGATCTCCGGCAAGGCCCAGCCTGTCACCGATCATGCAAGAAGATTATTTGCATCTCGCTTTATGGCTTCTAAACAACAGCAAATGATCTTTCTTGCACAACAGAGGACCGGGACAAGTTTAAATCGAAGCTGTTGCTGTGCGCGAGGAAGCGAGCACTCCAACAAGATCGATGGACGTAACGGCTTACAAAGCACCGCGATGGTTTGAAAAGAGTCGTCAGTGTCAGTAACGTGCCAATACGATGCGTTCGCATTCGACACTGCAATAATAGCACTTGTGTGTGGGTGCACGCAGCTCGTGCAGTCGGCGGAACATGAGGACGTGAAAAGCGGTGAGCGTGGCCTTGTGGTCTAGTGGTATGATTCTCGCTTAGGGTGCGAGAGGTCCCGGACTCGATCTCCGGCAAGGCCCAGCCCGTCACCGATCATGCGGGAAGAGTATTTGCATCTCGCTTTATGGCTTCTAGACAACAGCAAATGATCTTTCTTGCACAACAGAGGACCGGGACAAGTTTAAATCGAAGCTGTTGCTGTGCGCGAGGAAGCGAGCACTCCAACACGATCGATGGACGTAACGGCTTACAAAGCACCGCGATGGTTTGAAAAGAGTCGTCAGTGTCAGTAACGTGCCAATACGATGCGTTCGCATTCGACACTGCAATAATAGCACTTGTGTGTGGGTGCACGCAGCTCGTGCAGTCGGCGGAACATGAGGACGTGAAAAGCGGTGAGCGTGGCCTTGTGGTCTAGTGGTATGATTCTCGCTTAGGGTGCGAGAGGACCCGGACTCGATCTCCGGCAAGGCCCAGCCTGTCACCGATCATGCAAGAAGATTATTTGCATCTCGCTTTATGGCTTCTAAACAACAGCAAATGATCTTTCTTGCACAACAGAGGACCGGGACAAGTTTAAATCGAAGCTGTTGCTGTGCGCGAGGAAGCGAGCACTCCAACAAGATCGATGGACGTAACGGCTTACAAAGCACCGCGATGGTTTGAAAAGAGTCGTCAGTGTCAGTAACGTGCCAATACGATGCGTTCGCATTCGACACTGCAATAATAGCACTTGTGTGTGGGTGCACGCAGCTCGTGCAGTCGGCGGAACATGAGGACGTGAAAAGCGGTGAGCGTGGCCTTGTGGTCTAGTGGTATGATTCTCGCTTAGGGTGCGAGAGGTCCCGGACTCGATCTCCGGCAAGGCCCAGCCTGTCACCGATCATGCAAGAAGATTATTTGCATCTCGCTTTATGGCTTCTAAACAACAGCAAATGATCTTTCTTGCACAACAGAGGACCGGGACAAGTTTAAATCGAAGCTGTTGCTGTGCGCGAGGAAGCGAGCACTCCAACAAGATCGATGGACGTAACGGCTTACAAAGCACCGCGATGGTTTGAAAAGAGTCGTCAGCGTCAGTAACGTGCCAATACGATGCGTTCGCATTCGACACTGCAATAATAGCACTTGTGTGTGGGTGCACGCAGCTCGTGCAGTCGGCTGGAACATGAGGACGTGAAAAGCGGTGAGCGTGGCCTTGTGGTCTAGTGGTATGATTCTCGCTTAGGGTGCGAGAGGTCCCGGACTCGATCTCCGGCAAGGCCCAGCCTGTCACCGATCATGCAAGAAGATTATTTGCATCTCGCTTTATGGCTTCTGGACAACAGCAAATGATCTTTCTTGCACAACAGAGGACCGGGACAAGTTTTAATCGAAGCTGTTGCTGTGCGCGAGGAAGCGAGCACTCCAACAAGATCGATGGACGTAACGGCTTACAAAGCACCGCAATGGTTTGAAAAGAGTCGTCAGCGTCAGTAACGTGCCAATGCGATGCGTTCGCATTCGACACTGCAATAATAGCACTTGTGTGTGGGTGCACGCAGCTCGTGCAGTCGGCGGAACATGAGGACGTGAAAAGCGGTGAGCGTGGCCTTGTGGTCTAGTGGTATGATTCTCGCTTAGGGTGCGAGAGGTCCCGGACTCGATCTCCGGCAAGGCCCAGCCTGTCACCGATCATGCAAGAAGATTATTTGCATCTCGCTTTATGGCTTCTAAACAACAGCAAATGATCTTTCTTGCACAACAGAGGACCGGGACAAGTTTTAATCGAAGCTGTTGCTGTGCGCGAGGAAGCGAGCACTCCAACAAGATCGATGGACGTAACGGCTTACAAAGCACCGCAATGGTTTGAAAAGAGTCGTCAGCGTCAGTAACGTGCCAATGCGATGCGTTCGCATTCGACACTGCAATAATAGCACTTGTGTGTGGGTGCACGCAGCTCGTGCAGTCGGCGGAACATGAGGACGTGAAAAGCGGTGAGCGTGGCCTTGTGGTCTAGTGGTATGATTCTCGATTAGGGTGCGAGAGGTCCCGTACTCGATCTCCGGCAAGGCCCAGCCTGTCACCGATCATGCAAGAAGATTATTTTCATCTCGCTTTATGGCTTCTAAACAACAGCAAATGATCTTTCTTGCACAACAGAGGACCGGGACAAGTTTTAATCGAAGCTGTTGCTGTGCGCGAGGAAGCGAGCACTCCAACAAGATCGATGGACGTAACGGCTTACAAAGCACCGCAATGGTTTGAAAAGAGTCGTCAGCGTCAGTAACGTGCCAATACGATGCGTTCGCATTCGACACTGCAATAATAGCACTTGTGTGTGGGTGCACGCAGCTCGTGCAGTCGGCGGAACATGAGGACGTGAAAAGCGGTGAGTGTGGCCTTGTGGTCTAGTGGTATGATTCTCGCTTAGGGTGCGAGAGGTCTCGTACTCGATCTCCGGCAAGGCCCAGCCTGTCACCGATCATGCAAGAAGATTATTTGCATCTCGCTTTATGGCTTCTGGACAACAGCAAATGATCTTTCTTGCACAACAGAGGACCGGGACAAGTTTTAATCGAAGCTGTTGCTGTGCGCGAGGAAGCGAGCACTCCAACAAGATCGATGGACGTAACGGCTTACAAAGCACCGCAATGGTTTGAAAAGAGTCGTCAGCGTCAGTAACGTGCCAATGCGATGCGTTCGCATTCGACACTGCAATAATAGCACTTGTGTGTGGGTGCACGCAGCTCGTGCAGTCGCTGGAACATGAGGACGTGAAAAGCGGTGAGCGTGGCCTTGTGGTCTAGTGGTATGATTCTCGCTTAGGGTGCGAGAGGTCCCGGACTCGATCTCCGGCAAGGCCCAGCCTGTCACCGATCATGCAAGAAGATTATTTGCATCTCGCTTTATGGCTTCTGGACAACAGCAAATGATCTTTCTTGCACAACAGAGGACCGGGACAAGTTTTAATCGAAGCTGTTGCTGTGCGCGAGGAAGCGAGCACTCCAACAAGATCGATGGACGTAACGGCTTACAAAGCACCGCAATGGTTTGAAAAGAGTCGTCAGCGTCAGTAACGTGCCAATGCGATGCGTTCGCATTCGACACTGCAATAATAGCACTTGTGTGTGGGTGCACGCAGCTCGTGCAGTCGGCGGAACATGAGGACGTGAAAAGCGGTGAGCGTGGCCTTGTGGTCTAGTGGTATGATTCTCGATTAGGGTGCGAGAGGTCCCGTACTCGATCTCCGGCAAGGCCCAGCCTGTCACCGATCATGCAAGAAGATTATTTGCATCTCGCTTTATGGCTTCTAAACAACAGCAAATGATCTTTCTTGCACAACAGAGGACCGGGACAAGTTTTAATCGAAGCTGTTGCTGTGCGCGAGGAAGCGAGCACTCCAACAAGATCGATGGACGTAACGGCTTACAAAGCACCGCAATGGTTTGAAAAGAGTCGTCAGCGTCAGTAACGTGCCAATGCGATGCGTTCGCATTCGACACTGCAATAATAGCACTTGTGTGTGGGTGCACGCAGCTCGTGCAGTCGCTGGAACATGAGGACGTGAAAAGCGGTGAGCGTGGCCTTGTGGTCTAGTGGTATGATTCTCGCTTAGGGTGCGAGAGGTCTCGTACTCGATCTCCGGCAAGGCCCAGCCTGTCACCGATCATGCAAGAAGATTATTTTCATCTCGCTTTATGGCTTCTAAACAACAGCAAATGATCTTTCTTGCACAACAGAGGAACGGGACAAGTTTTAATCGAAGCTGTTGCTGTGCGCGAGAAAGCGAGCACTCGAACAAGATCGATGGACGTAACGGCTTACAAAGCACCGCAATGGTTTGAAAAGAGTCGTCAGCGTCAGTAACGTGCCAATGCGATGCGTTCGCATTCGACACTGCAATAATAGCACTTGTGTGTGGGTGCACGCAGCTCGTGCAGTCGCTGGAACATGAGGACGTGAAAAGCGGTGAGTGTGGCCTTGTGGTCTAGTGGTATGATTCTCGATTAGGGTGCGAGAGGTCTCGTACTCGATCTCCGGCAAGGCCCAGCCTGTCACCGATCATGCAAGAAGATTATTTGCATCTCGCTTTATGGCTTCTAAACAACAGCAAATGATCTTTCTTGCACAACAGAGGACCGGGACAAGTTTTAATCGAAGCTGTTGCTGTGCGCGAGGAAGCGAGCACTCCAACAAGATCGATGGACGTAACGGCTTACAAAGCACCGCAATGGTTTGAAAAGAGTCGTCAGCGTCAGTAACGTGCCAATGCGATGCGTTCGCATTCGACACTGCAATAATAGCACTTGTGTGTGGGTGCACGCAGCTCGTGCAGTCGCTGGAACATGAGGACGTGAAAAGCGGTGAGCGTGGCCTTGTGGTCTAGTGGTATGATTCTCGCTTAGGGTGCGAGAGGTCCCGTACTCGATCTCCGGCAAGGCCCAGCCTGTCACCGATCATGCAAGAAGATTATTTGCATCTCGCTTTATGGCTTCTAAACAACAGCAAATGATCTTTCTTGCACAACAGAGGACCGGGACAAGTTTTAATCGAAGCTGTTGCTGTGCGCGAGGAAGCGAGCACTCCAACAAGATCGATGGACGTAACGGCTTACAAAGCACCGCAATGGTTTGAAAAGAGTCGTCAGCGTCAGTAACGTGCCAATGCGATGCGTTCGCATTCGACACTGCAATAATAGCACTTGTGTGTGGGTGCACGCAGCTCGTGCAGTCGGCGGAACATGAGGACGTGAAAAGCGGTGAGCGTGGCCTTGTGGTCTAGTGGTATGATTCTCGCTTAGGGTGCGAGAGGTCCCGGACTCGATCTCCGGCAAGGCCCAGCCTGTCACCGATCATGCAAGAAGATTATTTGCATCTCGCTTTATGGCTTCTAAACAACAGCAAATGATCTTTCTTGCACAACAGAGGACCGGGACAAGTTTTAATCGAAGCTGTTGCTGTGCGCGAGGAAGCGAGCACTCCAACAAGATCGATGGACGTAACGGCTTACAAAGCACCGCAATGGTTTGAAAAGAGTCGTCAGCGTCAGTAACGTGCCAATGCGATGCGTTCGCATTCGACACTGCAATAATAGCACTTGTGTGTGGGTGCACGCAGCTCGTGCAGTCGGCGGAACATGAGGACGTGAAAAGCGGTGAGCGTGGCCTTGTGGTCTAGTGGTATGATTCTCGCTTAGGGTGCGAGAGGTCCCGGACTCGATCTCCGGCAAGGCCCAGCCTGTCACCGATCATGCAAGAAGATTATTTGCATCTCGCTTTATGGCTTCTAAACAACAGCAAATGATCTTTCTTGCACAACAGAGGACCGGGACAAGTTTTAATCGAAGCTGTTGCTGTGCGCGAGGAAGCGAGCACTCCAACAAGATCGATGGACGTAACGGCTTACAAAGCACCGCAATGGTTTGAAAAGAGTCGTCAGCGTCAGTAACGTGCCAATGCGATGCGTTCGCATTCGACACTGCAATAATAGCACTTGTGTGTGGGTGCACGCAGCTCGTGCAGTCGCTGGAACATGAGGACGTGAAAAGCGGTGAGTGTGGCCTTGTGGTCTAGTGGTATGATTCTCGATTAGGGTGCGAGAGGTCTCGTACTCGATCTCCGGCAAGGCCCAGCCTGTCACCGATCATGCAAGAAGATTATTTGCATCTCGCTTTATGGCTTCTGGACAACAGCAAATGATCTTTCTTGCACAACAGAGGACCGGGACAAGTTTTAATCGAAGCTGTTGCTGTGCGCGAGGAAGCGAGCACTCCAACAAGATCGATGGACGTAACGGCTTACAAAGCACCGCAATGGTTTGAAAAGAGTCGTCAGCGTCAGTAACGTGCCAATGCGATGCGTTCGCATTCGACACTGCAATAATAGCACTTGTGTGTGGGTGCACGCAGCTCGTGCAGTCGCTGGAACATGAGGACGTGAAAAGCGGTGAGCGTGGCCTTGTGGTCTAGTGGTATGATTCTCGCTTAGGGTGCGAGAGGTCCCGGATTCGATCTCCGGCAAGGCCCAGCCTGTCACCGATCATGCAAGAAGATTATTTGCATCTCGCTTTATGGCTTCTAAACAATAGCAAATGATCTTTCTTGCACAACAGAGGACCGGGACAAGTTTTAATCGAAGCTGTTGCTGTGCGCGAGGAAGCGAGCACTCCAACAAGATCGATGGACGTAACGGCTTACAAAGCACCGCAATGGTTTGAAAAGAGTCGTCAGCGTCAGTAACGTGCCAATGCGATGCGTTCGCATTCGACACTGCAATAATAGCACTTGTGTGTGGGTGCACGCAGCTCGTGCAGTCGCTGGAACATGAGGACGTGAAAAGCGGTGAGCGTGGCCTTGTGGTCTAGTGGTATGATTCTCGCTTAGGGTGCGAGAGGACCCGGACTCGATCTCCGGCAAGGCCCAGCCTGTCACCGATCATGCAAGAAGATTATTTGCATCTCGCTTTATGGCTTCTAAACAATAGCAAATGATCTTTCTTGCACAACAGAGGACCGGGACAAGTTTTAATCGAAGCTGTTGCTGTGCGCGAGGAAGCGAGCACTCCAACAAGATCGATGGACGTAACGGCTTACAAAGCACCGCAATGGTTTGAAAAGAGTCGTCAGCGTCAGTAACGTGCCAATGCGATGCGTTCGCATTCGACACTGCAATAATAGCACTTGTGTGTGGGTGCACGCAGCTCGTGCAGTCGCTGGAACATGAGGACGTGAAAAGCGGTGAGCGTGGCCTTGTGGTCTAGTGGTATGATTCTCGATTAGGGTGCGAGAGGTCCCGTACTCGATCTCCGGCAAGGCCCAGCCTGTCACCGATCATGCAAGAAGATTATTTGCATCTCGCTTTATGGCTTCTAAACAATAGCAAATGATCTTTCTTGCACAACAGAGGACCGGGACAAGTTTAAATCGAAGCTGTTGCTGTGCGCGAGGAAGCGAGCACTCCAACAAGATCGATGGACGTAACGGCTTACAAAGCACCGCAATGGTTTGAAAAGAGTCGTCAGCGTCAGTAACGTGCCAATGCGATGCGTTCGCATTCGACACTGCAATAATAGCACTTGTGTGTGGGTGCACGCAGCTCGTGCAGTCGCTGGAACATGAGGACGTGAAAAGCGGTGAGTGTGGCCTTGTGGTCTAGTGGTATGATTCTCGATTAGGGTGCGAGAGGTCTCGTACTCGATCTCCGGCAAGGCCCAGCCTGTCACCGATCATGCAAGAAGATTATTTGCATCTCGCTTTATGGCTTCTAAACAATAGCAAATGATCTTTCTTGCACAACAGAGGACCGGGACAAGTTTTAATCGAAGCTGTTGCTGTGCGCGAGGAAGCGAGCACTCCAACAAGATCGATGGACGTAACGGCTTACAAAGCACCGCAATGGTTTGAAAAGAGTCGTCAGCGTCAGTAACGTGCCAATGCGATGCGTTCGCATTCGACACTGCAATAATAGCACTTGTGTGTGGGTGCACGCAGCTCGTGCAGTCGCTGGAACATGAGGACGTGAAAAGCGGTGAGCGTGGCCTTGTGGTCTAGTGGTATGATTCTCGCTTAGGGTGCGAGAGGTCCCGGATTCGATCTCCGGCAAGGCCCAGCCTGTCACCGATCATGCAAGAAGATTATTTGCATCTCGCTTTATGGCTTCTAAACAACAGCAAATGATCTTTCTTGCACAACAGAGGACCGGGACAAGTTTTAATCGAAGCTGTTGCTGTGCGCGAGGAAGCGAGCACTCCAACAAGATCGATGGACGTAACGGCTTACAAAGCACCGCAATGGTTTGAAAAGAGTCGTCAGCGTCAGTAACGTGCCAATGCGATGCGTTCGCATTCGACACTGCAATAATAGCACTTGTGTGTGGGTGCACGCAGCTCGTGCAGTCGCTGGAACATGAGGACGTGAAAAGCGGTGAGCGTGGCCTTGTGGTCTAGTGGTATGATTCTCGATTAGGGTGCGAGAGGTCCCGTACTCGATCTCCGGCAAGGCCCAGCCTGTCACCGATCATGCAAGAAGATTATTTGCATCTCGCTTTATGGCTTCTAAACAATAGCAAATGATCTTTCTTGCACAACAGAGGACCGGGACAAGTTTTAATCGAAGCTGTTGCTGTGCGCGAGGAAGCGAGCACTCCAACAAGATCGATGGACGTAACGGCTTACAAAGCACCGCAATGGTTTGAAAAGAGTCGTCAGCGTCAGTAACGTGCCAATGCGATGCGTTCGCATTCGACACTGCAATAATAGCACTTGTGTGTGGGTGCACGCAGCTCGTGCAGTCGCTGGAACATGAGGACGTGAAAAGCGGTGAGCGTGGCCTTGTGGTCTAGTGGTATGATTCTCGCTTAGGGTGCGAGAGGTCCCGGATTCGATCTCCGGCAAGGCCCAGCCTGTCACCGATCATGCAAGAAGATTATTTGCATCTCGCTTTATGGCTTCTAAACAACAGCAAATGATCTTTCTTGCACAACAGAGGACCGGGACAAGTTTTAATCGAAGCTGTTGCTGTGCGCGAGGAAGCGAGCACTCCAACAAGATCGATGGACGTAACGGCTTACAAAGCACCGCAATGGTTTGAAAAGAGTCGTCAGCGTCAGTAACGTGCCAATGCGATGCGTTCGCATTCGACACTGCAATAATAGCACTTGTGTGTGGGTGCACGCAGCTCGTGCAGTCGCTGGAACATGAGGACGTGAAAAGCGGTGAGCGTGGCCTTGTGGTCTAGTGGTATGATTCTCGATTAGGGTGCGAGAGGTCCCGTACTCGATCTCCGGCAAGGCCCAGCCTGTCACCGATCATGCAAGAAGATTATTTGCATCTCGCTTTATGGCTTCTAAACAACAGCAAATGATCTTTCTTGCACAACAGAGGACCGGGACAAGTTTTAATCGAAGCTGTTGCTGTGCGCGAGGAAGCGAGCACTCCAACAAGATCGATGGACGTAACGGCTTACAAAGCACCGCAATGGTTTGAAAAGAGTCGTCAGCGTCAGTAACGTGCCAATACGATGCGTTCGCATTCGACACTGCAATAATAGCACTTGTGTGTGGGTGCACGCAGCTCGTGCAGTAGCTGGAACATGAGGACGTGAAAAGCGGTGAGTGTGGCCTTGTGGTCTAGTGGTATGATTCTCGATTAGGGTGCGAGAGGTCCCGTACTCGATCTCCGGCAAGGCCCAGCCTGTCACCGATCATGCAAGAAGATTATTTGCATCTCGCTTTATGGCTTCTAAACAACAGCAAATGATCTTTCTTGCACAACAGAGGACCGGGACAAGTTTTAATCGAAGCTGTTGCTGTGCGCGAGGAAGCGAGCACTCCAACAAGATCGATGGACGTAACGGCTTACAAAGCACCGCAATGGTTTGAAAAGAGTCGTCAGCGTCAGTAACGTGCCAATGCGATGCGTTCGCATTCGACACTGCAATAATAGCACTTGTGTGTGGGTGCACGCAGCTCGTGCAGTCGCTGGAACATGAGGACGTGAAAAGCGGTGAGCGTGGCCTTGTGGTCTAGTGGTATGATTCTCGCTTAGGGTGCGAGAGGTCCCGTACTCGATCTCCGGCAAGGCCCAGCCTGTCACCGATCATGCAAGAAGATTATTTGCATCTCGCTTTATGGCTTCTAAACAACAGCAAATGATCTTTCTTGCACAACAGAGGACCGGGACAAGTTTTAATCGAAGCTGTTGCTGTGCGCGAGGAAGCGAGCACTCCAACAAGATCGATGGACGTAACGGCTTACAAAGCACCGCAATGGTTTGAAAAGAGTCGTCAGCGTCAGTAACGTGCCAATGCGATGCGTTCGCATTCGACACTGCAATAATAGCACTTGTGTGTGGGTGCACGCAGCTCGTGCAGTCGCTGGAACATGAGGACGTGAAGAGCGGTGAGCGTGGCCTTGTGGTCTAGTGGTATAATTCTCGCTTAGGGTGCGAGAGGACCCGGACTCGATCTCCGGCAAGGCCCAGCCTGTCACCGATCATGCAAGAAGATTATTTGCATCTCGCTTTATGGCTTCTAAACAATAGCAAATGATCTTTCTTGCACAACAGAGGACCGGGACAAGTTTAAATCGAAGCTGTTGCTGTGCGCGAGGAAGCGAGCACTCCAACAAGATCGATGGACGTAACGGCTTACAAAGCACCGCAATGGTTTGAAAAGAGTCGTCAGCGTCAGTAACGTGCCAATGCGATGCGTTCGCATTCGACACTGCAATAATAGCACTTGTGTGTGGGTGCACGCAGCTCGTGCAGTCGCTGGAACATGAGGACGTGAAAAGCGGTGAGCGTGGCCTTGTGGTCTAGTGGTATGATTCTCGATTAGGGTGCGAGAGGTCCCGTACTCGATCTCCGGCAAGGCCCAGCCTGTCACCGATCATGCAAGAAGATTATTTGCATCTCGCTTTATGGCTTCTAAACAACAGCAAATGATCTTTCTTGCACAACAGAGGACCGGGACAAGTTTAAATCGAAGCTGTTGCTGTGCGCGAGGAAGCGAGCACTCCAACAAGATCGATGGACGTAACGGCTTACAAAGCACCGCAATGGTTTGAAAAGAGTCGTCAGCGTCAGTAACGTGCCAATGCGATGCGTTCGCATTCGACACTGCAATAATAGCACTTGTGTGTGGGTGCACGCAGCTCGTGCAGTCGCTGGAACATGAGGACGTGAAAAGCGGTGAGCGTGGCCTTGTGGTCTAGTGGTATGATTCTCGCTTAGGGTGCGAGAGGTCCCGTACTCGATCTCCGGCAAGGCCCAGCCTGTCACCGATCATGCAAGAAGATTATTTGCATCTCGCTTTATGGCTTCTAAACAACAGCAAATGATCTTTCTTGCACAACAGAGGACCGGGACAAGTTTAAACCAAAGCTGTTGCTGTGCGCGAGAAAGCGAGCACTCCAACAAGATCGATGGACGTAACGGCTTACAAAGCACCGCAATGGTTTGAAAAGAGTCGTCAGCGTCAGTAACGTGCCAATACGATGCGTTCGCATTCGACACTGCAATAATAGCACTTGTGTGTGGGTGCACGCAGCTCGTGCAGTCGCTGGAACATGAGGACGTGAAAAGCGGTGAGCGTGGCCTTGTGGTCTAGTGGTATAATTCTCGATTAGGGTGCGAGAGGTCCCGGACTCGATCTCCGGCAAGGCCCAGCCCGTCACCGATCATGCAAGAAGATTATTTTCATCTCGCTTTATGGCTTCTAAACAACAGCAAATGATCTTTCTTGCACAACAGAGGACCGGGACAAGTTTAAATCGAAGCTGTTGCTGTGCGCGAGGAAGCGAGCACTCCAACAAGATCGATGGACGTAACGGCTTACAAAGCACCGCAATGGTTTGAAAAGAGTCGTCAGCGTCAGTAACGTGCCAATACGATGCGTTCGCATTCGACACTGCAATAATAGCACTTGTGTGTGGGTGCACGCAGCTCGTGCAGTCGCTGGAACATGAGGACGTGAAAAGCGGTGAGCGTGGCCTTGTGGTCTAGTGGTATGATTCTCGCTTAGGGTGCGAGAGGTCCCGGACTCGATCTCCGGCAAGGCCCAGCCTGTCACCGATCATGCAAGAAGATTATTTGCATCTCGCTTTATGGCTTCTAAACAACAGCAAATGATCTTTCTTGCACAACAGAGGACCGGGACAAGTTTAAATCGAAGCTGTTGCTGTGCGCGAGGAAGCGAGCACTCCAACAAGATCGATGGACGTAACGGCTTACAAAGCACCGCAATGGTTTGAAAAGAGTCGTCAGTGTCAGTAACGTGCCAATACGATGCGTTCGCATTCGACACTGCAATAATAGCACTTGTGTGTGGGTGCACGCAGCTCGTGCAGTCGCTGGAACATGAGGACGTGAAAAGCGGTGAGCGTGGCCTTGTGGTCTAGTGGTATGATTCTCGCTTAGGGTGCGAGAGGTCCCGGACTCGATCTCCGGCAAGGCCCAGCCTGTCACCGATCATGCAAGAAGATTATTTGCATCTCGCTTTATGGCTTCTAAACAACAGCAAATGATCTTTCTTGCACAACAGAGGACCGGGACAAGTTTAAATCGAAGCTGTTGCTGTGCGCGAGGAAGCGAGCACTCCAACAAGATCGATGGACGTAACGGCTTACAAAGCACCGCAATGGTTTGAAAAGAGTCGTCAGCGTCAGTAACGTGCCAATACGATGCGTTCGCATTCGACACTGCAATAATAGCACTTGTGTGTGGGTGCACGCAGCTCGTGCAGTCGCTGGAACATGAGGACGTGAAAAGCGGTGAGCGTGGCCTTGTGGTCTAGTGGTATGATTCTCGATTAGGGTGCGAGAGGTCCCGTACTCGATCTCCGGCAAGGCCCAGCCTGTCACCGATCATGCAAGAAGATTATTTGCATCTCGCTTTATGGCTTCTAAACAACAGCAAATGATCTTTCTTGCACAACAGAGGACCGGGACAAGTTTAAATCGAAGCTGTTGCTGTGCGCGAGGAAGCGAGCACTCCAACAAGATCGATGGACGTAACGGCTTACAAATCACCGCAATGGTTTGAAAAGAGTCGTCAGCGTCAGTAACGTGCCAATGCGATGCGTTCGCATTCGACACTGCAATAATAGCACTTGTGTCTGGGTGCGTGCAGCGCGTGCAGTCGGCGGAACATGAGGACGTGAAAAGTAGTGAGCGTGGCCTTGTGGTCTAGTGGTATGATTCTCGCTTAGGGTGCGAGAGGTCCCGGACTCGATCTCCGGTAAGGCCCAGCCCGTCACCGATCATGCAAGGAGAGTATTTTCATCTCGCTTTATGGCTTCTAAACAACAGCAAATGATCTTTCTTGCACAACAGAGGACCGGGACAAGTTTAAATCAAAGCTGTTGCTGTGCGCGAGAAAGCGAGCACTCCAACAAGATCGATGGACGTAACGGCTTACAAAGCACCGCAATGGTTTGAAAAGAGTCGTCAGCGTCAGTAACGTGCCAATACGATGCGTTCGCATTCGACACTGCAATAATAGCACTTGTGTGTGGGTGCACGCAGCTCGTGCAGTCGCTGGAACATGAGGACGTGAAAAGCGGTGAGCGTGGCCTTGTGGTCTAGTGGTATGATTCTCGCTTAGGGTGCGAGAGGTCCCGGACTCGATCTCCGGCAAGGCCCAGCCTGTCACCGATCATGCAAGAAGATTATTCGCATCTCGCTTTGTGGCTTCTAGACAACAGCAAATGATCTTTCTTGCACAACAGAGGAACGGGACAAGTTTAAACCGAAGCTGTTGCTGTGCGCAAGGAAGCGAGCACTCGAACAAGATCGATGGACGTAACGGCTTACAAAGCACCGCAATGGTTTGAAAAGAGTCGTCAGTGTCAGTAACGTGCCAATGCGATGCGTTCGCATTCGACACTGCAATAATAGCACGAGTGTGTGGGTGCACGCAGCTCGTGCAGTCGCTGGAACATGAGGACGTGAAAAGCGGTGAGCGTGGCCTTGTGGTCTAGTGGTATGATTCTCGATTAGGGTGCGAGAGGTCCCGTACTCGATCTCCGGCAAGGCCCAGCCTGTCACCGATCATGCAAGAAGATTATTTGCATCTCGCTTTATGGCTTCTAAACAACAGCAAATGATCTTTCTTGCACAACAGAGGACCGGGACAAGTTTAAACCAAAGCTGTTGCTGTGCGCGAGAAAGCGAGCACTCCAACAAGATCGATGGACGTAACGGCTTACAAAGCACCGCAATGGTTTGAAAAGAGTCGTCAGCGTCAGTAACGTGCCAATACGATGCGTTCGCATTCGACACTGCAATAATAGCACTTGTGTGTGGGTGCACGCAGCTCGTGCAGTCGGCGGAATATGAGGACGTGAAAAGCGGTGAGCGTGGCCTTGTGGTCTAGTGGTATGATTCTCGATTAGGGTGCGAGAGGTCTCGTACTCGATCTCCGGCAAGGCCCAGCCTGTCACCGATCATGCAAGAAGATTATTTGCATCTCGCTTTATGGCTTCTAAACAACAGCAAATGATCTTTCTTGCACAACAGAGGACCGGGACAAGTTTAAATCGAAGCTGTTGCTGTGCGCGAGGAAGCGAGCACTCCAACAAGATCGATGGACGTAACGGCTTACAAAGCACCGCGATGGTTTGAAAAGAGTCGTCAGCGTCAGTAACGTGCCAATACGATGCGTTCGCATTCGACACTGCAATAATAGCACTTGTGTGTGGGTGCACGCAGCTCGTGCAGTCGCTGGAACATGAGGACGTGAAAAGCGGTGAGCGTGGCCTTGTGGTCTAGTGGTATGATTCTCGCTTAGGGTGCGAGAGGTCCCGGATTCGATCTCCGGCAAGGCCCAGCCTGTCACCGATCATGCAAGAAGATTATTTGCATCTCGCTTTATGGCTTCTAAACAACAGCAAATGATCTTTCTTGCACAACAGAGGACCGGGACAAGTTTAAATCGAAGCTGTTGCTGTGCGCGAGGAAGCGAGCACTCCAACAAGATCGATGGACGTAACGGCTTACAAAGCACCGCGATGGTTTGAAAAGAGTCGTCA